AATTGTATATTGCTCCTACATTCAATACCATCTTGTTTAAATGAGATATTATTTCAAGGTAAAAAAATAAATGTCCTTGATAAGTATTTCTAATAAAGTCTTCCACATTAATGCAGAGAGATTTCACCCTTAAAATAACATCCCTGAAAAAATCATCAGCATTGTGTTATGCTGTTATATGTTAGATTCCCTCATGAGTTGGTTCTGGCCAGCTCAGTGGATTGCTTTAAACGAAGGCCTGGATTCTTTCCTAGATACACAGAATATAACTGGATACTAACATTTATAGGTATAGTTGATCCAGGGAATATCTGATTGCCTTTCAGGGGATCAGGAAGGTTTTTTTTCACTTGCAGGAGCAAACTGGATCATGCTTTGCTGGGGTTTTTTTGCCTTCCTCTGGATCAATTGTGGGTATAGGATTATAACTTTTTTTTGGTTGAGCTGGATGGACTTTTGTCTTTCAGCCATACTAACTATGTTATGCCTGCATACACGTTTTAAAACTTATTATGGTATTTCCTACAATACAGCAAACCTAATGTAACAATGTGGCTTTTCTCCAACTGGATACAAATCTTTTCATGGTTTATGTGCTGAAATACAGGCAAAAAATTAAACATGATTAGCTGGCTTAGAAACCATAGTCTCATCACTTCTGCTAGTGATCATTTTGTGTGTGTGTATATATATATATATATATAAATAATATACATACACGTCATGATGTTACGCTGGATTTTTAAACTTTAATTCCAGCCACAGAAGATAATCTATAGTGCCAAAACAAATACCCAGACACAAGAAGGCTTTGTTTATCAATAATTCACTAACCTAGAGGTACAACTGCCCCTGTTAGCATATTTTTATGGTGACCAGTCTATAGCAAATCTGATAGCACAGAATCATTTTTCCCTGTAGTACACAATAGGATGAGCTTGCAATATGAAAAAGCAAAAGTCTTTATGGACATTCGCAGAGGAACCCAACGCACTATAAACCTGTGTCCCAAGCAGTTGCATTGAATGGCAGAGATGAAACTGCACCATCCTATAACCTGTCTTATGGAAAGTTTAGTAGGATGGTAGAATAGCAGGGGTAGATAACTGAGGGTTATTCATGCTTTGGGTTCAACTTTAAACCAGGCAGGACAAAGAGTAATGATAATGTGTGAAGTGTAACTACAGTATTTTCTGGCGTATAAGACTACTTTTTATACTTAAAAATATACCCCAAAAATTGGGGGTCGTCTTATACGCGGGGTATAAAATGTGAACCTTGAGTTTGTTTTGGTCAAGCAGGCTGGATGTGTGGTAATACTGTACATACAGTATACCGCGCTCAGCCAAGCTGGCTCAAAACAAATGTCCCTATGACAGATTAATCTGTCAGCCCGCTGGATGTGCGTTATATACAGTATACTGCGCTGAGCCAAGCAGGTTCAAAACGTACCGGTACGTCCCTACTGTAATCAGCCCGCTGGATGCGTGTATGTACGGTAGCTGCGGCTACATACAGTATACACTGGGCCAATCACGGCGAGTGATGTATTCTATTAATACAAAGCCTGCTCGAATTGGCTGAGTCAGAGGTGGGCTGATGATGTCACAACCTCAGCCAATCCCAGCAGGCTTTGTATTCATTAGTAGAATACATCGCTCGCTGTGATTGGCCCAGCGTATACTGTATGTAGCCTCAGCTACTGTACATACACGCATCCAGCGGTCTGACGTTTTGAAACAGCTTGGCTCACTATACTGTATATACCGCACATCCAGCGGGCTGAGAGATTAATCTGTCATAGGGACATTTGTTTTAAGCCAGCTTGGCTCAGCACGGTATACTGTATATACATTACTGCACATCCAGCGGGCTGTATATATACTGTATGTAGCCGAAGCTACCGTATTATCGCACATCCAGCACTAACCATCTGGTTTGGAATTTGATCCATATGATGACTGTCTTACAAATGTATCACAAGATGTCATTCATGAACTTATGATGTCAGAGGATGAAAATGAGGATTTTTAGGATTTTAAGTACCGGTAAGTCATAACCATTTCAATAAAAAAATCTGTTTTTAAATGGTGTTGCCTCGGAAGGGGGGTAGTCTTATACGGCGAGTATAGCCCAAAACCTATGTTTTAACTGGAAAATTAGGGCGTCGTCTTATACACCCAGTCGCCTTATACGCCGGAAAATATGGTACTTCCCTCTTTCAGACACAGCATACATCTTCATACTTTATTCACATAAAACAGAAAATGTTAATCAATGTAAACATTCCTGAGAAATTAGGCTTATGTCAGTGGGTACCAACAGGCTACCCCAAACATCCCTTGTCAATGAATGACTGGGAGAAGTAATTGTCTTGTTTGGATATCTTCAGCCGTCACCCGTCACTGTTCCTTTCCCTGTAATATGCACCAGAGTGGCCTGGTACCATTCTCCTCCACCTGCTCATATTAATGTACATGCTTATGAAACGGTCTTTCAAAAGACCATTAAATGGTCATGATTGTGCCCAGATATCCAACTACCTGTGCTGTCTTCAGTAAGCTGTAACTGCAATTATTATTTTTTTTTTTTTACAAACCATCCATAAATGTACTGTAAGCTGGCTACACACAAGCAAGAGGAAGCAAGATTTAATCAGTCCATTTGAACAATTTCTTCAAAGTGGATGTGCTCTCTCCTAAAAGTTCCAAAGTGCAATTGTGCATACAATATACCTACAGATAATAGATGTAAACTACTTCAAGAGGGCGCACGGTCTCCTAAAAAGTCCAAAGTGCAGTTGTGCATGCAATATACATATATCAAATGTGTAATAGATTATCTAGCGAGCGCTACCTTAAAAACTGTTAATGATATGACAGAAAAGCAGCTGGAACACCAAAAAAAGGTAACCAATACACCTTCCAGAAAAATATATAGACAGTGTATAGGTACAGCGCTATGAATAATATAGACATGTAATAAACCAATGACAATAATCAGCGTGCAATAGCGTGGTGATTAAAGTAATACAAGGTATATGGTATAACGTCCAAATAAAACCATGTGATAAGAAGATCCTGTAGAATCCCAGTTTGTGGTGGGAAAATTTGATCCAGAGGTGATAGATAATCCCAGTATCTTTCCCGCCATTTGTAAACGCTATAACTTTCACGTAAACCAATTAATTTACACGTATTGGGTCTTTTTTTTTTAGCAAAGACATGTCGCAGAATGCATTTTGGCAGAAATTTATGACTAAACTTGATTTTTGCATTTTTTTTTTACTGGACATGTTTTATAGCAAAAAGTCCAAAATATTGTTTTTTTTTTCCCCTCAAAATTGTCAGCCTTTTTTTTTTTTTTTAATAGCGCAAGAAATAAAAACCGCACAGGCCATCAAATACCACCGAAAGAAAGCTCAATTTGTGGGGAAAAAAAAGGATGTAAATTTAATTTATGTACCGTATTGCATGACCGCGCGCAATTGTCCGTTATACTAGTGCAGCGCTGTATAGCAGAAAAACGGCGTAAATTGCAGTATTTATACCATAGTTTGTAGACGCTATAACACAAAGCAATCAATATACACTTATTGGGATTTTTTTTTACCAAAAACATGTAACAGAATGCATTTTGGCCTAAATTTATAACCAACTTTGAGTTTACTATATATTTTTTAGAGCTGAAAGTAAAAAATATTGTTTTTCTTCAAAATTTTTGGCCTTTTTTTGTTTATAGCGTGAAAAATAAAAAGCGCACAGGTGATCAAATTACACCGAAAGAAAGCTCTATTTGTGTGAAAAAGAGGACATAAATTTTGTTTGGGTGCAGCATTGCATGACCGCGCAATTATCAGTTGAATTAGTGCAGCTCCGAGTAGCAAAAAGAGGCCTGGTCATTAAGGGGGGTAAATCCTCTGGAGCTCAAGTGGTTAACAGGAATCATAACCAGAGTTTGTCATCTGCACATCCCCAAGCGCAGTTGTTCGGATCTTTGTTCCATGCTCCTAGAATCCCATGACTATGCCACACAACAGGTGTAGGTGAGGGAAGAGTACTTAGACTATTGGACAAGAGTTGGAATACATGGTTTCACACACCACACCATAAAAAAACAGGAGGTGTGTGAAGTGACCATAATGAATGATATAAACCCCCGATTAATGACCCTGAGGTATTCAAAGCCCTGGACCCTTTGTTGAGGTAGCCATAAATATCAGAGGAAGTTCATCCTCTTTGACCTTTACCAATTGGCTAAGACTTGCCCCAGTGTTCATTTTAATTTCTTATCAATACGATGCAAACTTTAAGTTACCTAAAGACAAGTGACAAGCATCAATCACTATATGGGGTGGCAGATGCGAATGGGGACCCCATAGCCCGACTCCCAGGATGAAGCTGATTTTTAAAGTTACTGAATTAAAACGGGCTTACTTCATTTTACATATGCAATAAATGAATATATAAGAAGAGATAATTTATTCAACAATGTTTGTTAATTTTGAACTGACTTGGTATACCATGCTGATATCGGGGTAAGTGAATCCAGTCACACCATGGGTGTTATTGCTTTTATTACCAGTCTACAGATGTTATTATAATCTTCACTGCCATTACTACGTTAGTAAAATCCGCATTCATGTGTGAGACTTGAGCTCACCACCATACACTATACAATCTAATAGTACAATCTCCTTTAGATTTACAAAAACTACGTAATATGAGGACAAACCTAAACAATGCATTCAATATATATCACATTAGGCAGGCCCTTTCACTAAACAGTTGATAGCAGATCTAAAGGAGATTGTACAATCAGATTGTATAGAGCATGGTCACTTTTACAAGTCGTGTTGGAAGTAGCTGCACCACAAAAAGCAGGGAGGAAAGTATGAAGGAGTGTTTTAATAATGAAAAAGGTGGATGAAAAAAGAATGGACAAGAAAAAGATTGCATAGGGCAAAATGGAGCAGCTTTCTTCCCAGGGTCTATCTGTTTCTAGCGTTCATCAAATCCTGGCATGGGGAAGGCACGAGCAAATTTCTCTACACGCTGACGAAGGTTTGCAATTTTCTGTACTGTTTCCTTGTCCTCCAGCAGAAAATTCTTGAAATCTTGGAGTTTAGCTGCCAAAAAAAAAAAATATTACAAAAAGGTCAATGGGGATTGACACTGCTCAATCTGTAAATATAAAAAGTCACAAGGCCTAAGGCTCCCTAAAGGCCATGAAGCTCTTAAAACCAAAAGAATATCAAAGTGGAAAATTAGGGATTACAACAGCAAATGCAAAATAAAATAAAACGTAAAACTGAAAAAAAAAATAAATCAAGCAGATTCTTTGTCTTGCTGATAATTGGGCAGCTAATCTTCTTATAATACAAATTCCCATTCACCAATAAGGTGATCCAGATGCAGCATATAGTCACATTAAAGAAGAAATATAGTGAGGTCTCTTAGGTAAAGTGTTACTAAACCCAGGACCCTGCTTTCACTATGTCTGGTCTCCAACAGTACACAGAGCACGGAAATGCAATTATTTTAGTAAATATCAATTGCCTTTTCTCACCAGCAGTATATAGTGACTTCTATCAAGTGCCCAGAAAAGCACTGGTTTAACTTGTAGTAGTTTTCATTCTCCACGGACTGCCCTATGAGGCTGCATGACCCCTGACCCTCTGTCTAGACAATGCTGATTGGTCCTGTGCTGATCACATGCACGATCACAAAAAGGAAAACCACTCTAGCCATACACACCAAACTGAGCATGTGCAAGAGTTTCTCCTAGGGCTCTGTTCTATCAGCAGATGGATTGGGGGACTGAAAGTGAAGGATCAGAAAAGACAGGCTCAAACAGCCTTTTTACACAATACAGAGGATTAACCCCTTAGGTTCCACAGTGATTATAATAAGCATGCTTTTTAGCATATACAGAGTGATTTTACTGTTGTGAGTTTAGTAACACTTTAAGGTTTAAACCGGGATGGCATTCAACCCAAGGCTCACCTGTGCTGGACTTTAGAGAGAAAAGCCTGGGAGGGGGGCAGTGAAAGTCAGAAGGTGAGGATTGCAGCAAGAACGGCTTTTATAATTGTGGGCACCCTTTTTTTTTTCTTTATCTAATTAAACTAGAGTTGGGTTTTAAAGTGTATAAAACTAGATAAGATTTCTAACTTTAGACAAAACAGACAGTTCTTCCATTAGACACGTAAGTTCTGGGGGTAAAAGACCTTCTAAATTAAAGGGTCATTTCAGTATACTATCGCAAGTGTTATAAAGAGAACTGAGGCTTTTCATTGGGTATTATACAGCTTTTCACACCAAGTATACAATACAGTATATGGGTCAAAAAGCACTCACAGTAGATAAAGACAAAATCTATATATTTACAACCCTAGCTGGAAATACTATATCAGTACACCTTAGACTACAACTGATTTACCCTGCTCTACAGGATTAGAATAATGACAATTAAAAAACAAAAATTGAATTCAGCTTCTTAGTTTCTGGATTCCACATGAAATGTGATCCAGGCTCTGCAATTAGTGTATGTTTGGTTTCCCACAGAGCAAAGTTTGTTATCTTTAACGGTGAGGAAGTGGTTTTCCAGTGAACTGAAGAAACTCAGCAGTCACCGGCTGGACAAAAACGCGTTTCGCTTAGAGCCAGTTGAAGAAGTTCTTCAACTCAGAGCATTCAATTTTCGTTCTCATAAAAGCCACTCAGAGCTAGAAGATAGATATTAACGCTGCAATGCTACCAAGCCTATGAAGCAGATAGCATTATAAAGTAATTGTGTCTTGTGACGCAGTAAAATATTAATATCATTAGGTATATATGCAGGCATGTGTGTGTCTGTATTAAATAAATAAAACTGCTGAGATCCCTGGATACAATCTACCTAAACAGCAGCAAATGTATCTACATTGATTACAACAGTCAACCGCCTACTAAATTTCAGTTTTTCTATTCTCTAGTACAGGGGTTCCTAACCATTTTCATTTGAAGGAAATCATTACCATAGTGGGATGCGCAAAGAAAAGTATTAGCAAAATGTAATCAAAACCATATAAACACGAATAACAATGGCGGTATCATAGTATTAAACATTTTTTAAAAAAAGCACAAAAACAGTAAATGTATTTTGTTTCGATTCAAGTACACGGTTTTTCTCAAAGTTCTCTCCTTTGGTAAGAAAAGTGAAAGTCCTTGTTTGAGCTGGCACTGAGGGCCGTACACTGTGAATGGGATTTTTCTGTCATCTCCAGCCTCCAGGTGCTGCATGCAGGCAGCCCATTGAAGCCTATTAGGATGCAGCTCTGCACGGACACAGTTGCTTGTCTTAATGTGACAGGCGTACAGGTGCGTAGCCCCAAATTCTAAGTTTGTGTTCGGGGACCCCTTACCAGCACACCACACCTATCACATTAGGACAAGCAGCTTCATCCCTGCAGATGCTGCACCTAATTAGGGATAAGGTCAGACAGGTTCCGACACATGCTCCTTGTATACATGCTGCTGTGCGGTTCCTCTGCTTAGAATTGGCAGTTGGGTTTGATTTGCTTCTGGGCAGGATAGCTCAAGCGGGTTCAGACTCATGTCCCCTCCAAGTTAATTATTATTATACATTAGTATACAGAATTTATATAGTGCCAACAGTTTGTGCAGCGCTTTACAAAATGAAGGCAGACATTACAGTTACTATACAATTTGGTACAAGAGGAATCAGAGGGCCCTGCTCATTAGAGCTTACAATCTAATAGGGAGGGTTAAGTGATACAAAAGCTGTGGGGGATGAGCTGATGGAGAAAGTAAAAACAGTGCATTAATTAGATGCAGAATAGGATTCTTTGAAGAGTAGGGTTTTCAGGGTTCTCATTCTTTGTTCCAATAAACTTCAATGGGCTGCCTGCATGCAAGAACCTGGAGGCTAGAGATGCTGTGGGGGGGGGGGGGGGGGGGGGGGGGGAAGGCCCATTCACAGTATATGGGCCTCAGTACTTAAGAACGATGTGAAAAGCAAACATATAAAACAAATATTTAGAATTCAAAATAGAAAATAGATTCCTGGGCATTGTTCCAATAGAAATGCCCATACATATACAAAAAGTAGTTAAAGAAGAACTCCAGGTACATATAAAAACATAAAATGTCCACAATAAATCAGGAATGCATTAGCCACATATTTTACACTTGGACAAACTAGGCTACAGTGTAAAATGGCGACCCATCAAAAATACGTCCCCTGTCCCATAGTGTAAGAACACTGCACTAGTGTATTTTACAGTACAGGGTTTAGCTGTCAATATATTGAGTAAAAGGTGAATCATAAGCCTATTCTTTCACTCCAGTGCTACTCACATGTTTTGCTCTTCACATCGAGTCCAATCTGAATGCCTTCATCAATAAAGTCAACCACTTTCTCAAAGTCGGTCTCGCTGAAATTGCGGGATGTAAGTGCAGGGGCACCTTTTAAGAAAATAAAAGCAGTGAAAATGTGTAATCCAAGATCTCAATGGTAAATGGTTTGCGGACTTCTGACATATGGTATAAAAACATATAAAGTGTCAAAAGGCAGCTGTACTTTTATATTAAGCATCAGTAAGGTTCACAAAATGGGCTGCCCTGATGTTGGAACACAGCCAGCCATTTTTCACAAGCATGCTAACCCCATCCAAAGCTGCTTTCGCCCCAGAAATGCTAACTTCCAATAATAAAGCCTATAGCATGCGCTAGTCACTTGTCCAGGATTGGCTTTAGAAGTCAACCAGTCACCTGGTAAACACACTGAATACATGCCGAGGACTGACATTCCTTTCTATGGTCATGCCTTGTCTGTAGACTAGCTGTCTCACCAAAAACATTTTTGTTTGAAAATAAGGCATTACTGGATAGGGCAATTCAGATGGCAGGAAACTATATATTATAGAATATTTTAGGGTGGGTATTGATGCTGGGGTTGAGGGAAAGTGGCTGCTAGCTTTTAGTATTAAAAAATGTATTTGCACGTTCATATTGCTTTTAGTTATATGTTATTTTATATAAAGCAAACATGGATTTGGATTAGTAGCAGAGTCCTTCTGCTTTGTAGCCGCAATTTAAACCAGTAGATTCCTTAAATAAAGCGCTGAGCAAACTGTTGGCGCTATATAAATCCTGTATAATAAAAATAAATAATAATTTTTTTAATATATTCATTAACATTTATAAGAAATAACACTGTAGACTATTGATATATGCCATATATTTGTCTTTTATGGATCTGTAAGGATTTTCTTCCTGTTGAAGCAAATTGAACCATGCTTTATAAGGGTGTTTGCCTTTCTCTAGTCAACTGTGGGGTAATGGTTCCGAGGAAGCAAGGGTGATTACGTTTTTTTTTTTGCCCTTTTGATTAAACTGACAGAGTGTTTTTTTTTTTCCACCTGACCAACTATATAATTTTGTATGATTTCCCTCAACATGTAATAATATATAGAAACAAACGGAATCAAATCATCCAGAGAGACACAGGAAAATGTGCCTTCTGCCCCCTATCCTCATTCTTCCAGGGCTCTGGCACATTACATAGCTTTGCTGCAGGACCTTTCTTTTATTGTCTATTGATTGAACAAGGCCCAGGTGGATGTTTTCTACATCTGCACAGCTTCATGATAGATCTCTTCTTCCACTGACCTGACCTGCACTTCATTTTCAAGGTCATCCTGCATTTTAAAATTCAAGTTACCTAGTGCTGTATACACACTTCAAAACCGTGTTTGAATTTTGAAAAGTAGAGTAAAAAAATGCATTTAAACTGACGAAAAGAGCACTGCCTACTAGCTGAGTGTCTTGAATTGTAATTGTGGTGTCTTAGCATTAAAACGTATCTATTCAGCTAGCTAAACCCCTTCAACTACCAGTGCTCTTATGGTGTAATTGGCCCTTAATCTGAGCTTGTAACAATGAACACCATGGTCCACGGACCATACCACCTCAACAATCACTGGAACGTGAAAGTGAGGTTGCAAAGCATCATATCATACAAAAGGCTGTATTTACTTGTTCATGCCCTACTACACCAATCCTGATAATTATGGCTAGAGTACACTTTCTGATCTTGGCACATGTCTATATTATTTCCTAGATAACATCAGTTCACTGATAATTTTACATTGAAAACAATGATGCTCTTTTAACATTTAGAAGAGTGAAGTGCTAAAGTCTTGAAAACTACTTTCTGAACTACTGAAGAGGGATCTAGTTTAAAAACTATTCTAGAAATAAATCACAGCATTTCATTCAGTTATTTTACCCCTTTTTATTTTTACTATCACAAGTCTTTCAGTATTTTTGCTTACAATAAGAAAAAGGTAAACAAAGAAATATGTACATATATATAAAAAAGTGCAGCGCTAAAAAATATATATTAAAACTCAGTACAATAAAACTTCCAGATGAATATGGCGCTTATTAAGGCGCACAAATGAGAAATAATATTGCACAGTCTAATGAGTAGAGATGTGTGGAAAGAAGTGCAGGCTTGACTCGGATAGGTCAGCAATACAAGTGGTTAAACTTCAACTTCATAGGTAATTTCCATAATAATAATCCTCGTGATGTGACTCCATGCAGCATTGTATAAAATGCGCACTCACCAAATGCACATAGGTTATGCGCATTGAACCAATAAGACTCTGTAGGGGCCCCTTTAAATGAAACAGCCAGCCAGCTTGGAGCAAGGATCCCTCATCTGGACACCAGCTTCACATGCAGCCAGGCTTCCTCTGGGCATCTCTAGGAGCAGTTAGCTCAGAGCCAGGCAATATATGAAAAAGCCGTATAGTGTAGTACTTCTTAAAAAGTATTCATTTATTATGGGATTACCATCCAAAAGCATTCCATACAAATTTCCAAAATAAGTAAAGTGAATATAGTGCACATATAACCTCCTGTGGCTGCTCAGCCACTCTCCAAAATGGCTGCCGGACCGAACATTATTTTGAGGGGAGATTCTTTTTCTTTTATTTCTCCCTTTACGTAATTTTATTCATAGCCTTTTTATTAGTTTTTTAATTTTAGTACATTTTCATATATCTTTTTCTTTTATTTCCCCTATATATATATTTTTTTTCTGGGGATATATAATGTTTGTTGCTTTTTTTATATACCCACTTTTTTTCAGTAAAGAAATATACATTGTAATGTCCAATCATAATGAGCGATCATTTGCTGCTGCTGCCCCACTTTTCAAGAATGGTATTTATATTTATATTATAGTAATATCACTATTGCCATGGTTGTTCCCCATTTTTAGAAGTTGTTCTAGGCATGCTAATATCTGCATAATCAATACTGTTTATCAGTTCGTGATGAGCTGAATAGCAGCAGCTGTGAACAGATTGCCGGTGTCCGGAATCTGGCTGTGTGCGCACACGCTCTGGTATTTTTGTCCCTAACACTCCGATAAAATGGCACCCGCACACTGCACATGCGCGGATGCACTGATTGTATATAGAGGGTGAATCAGATGTCCGACGGTAGGCACACCCCTTTTGAAACCGTACTCTTGCACAAAACGCGTCAAGGAGGAGCCCTAACATAATGACGTCACACTGCCATAGCTGCACGGAGGACCATTTTGGAGAGTGGCTGAGCAGCCAGAGGAAATTATATGTGCACTATATTCACTTTACTTATTTTGGAAATTTGTATGGAATGCTTTTGGATGGTAATCCTATAATAATTGAATACTTTTTAAGAAGTACTACACTATATGGCTTTTTCATATATTGTCTGGCTCTGAGCTAACTGCTCTTAGAGACCCCCAGAGGAAGCGAGGCTGCATGTGAAGCTGGTGTCCAGATGAGGGATCCTTGCTCCAAGCTGGCTGGCTGTTCCATTTAAAGGGGCCCCTACAGAGTCATATTGGTTCAATGCGCATAACCTATGTGCATTTGGTGAGTGCGCATTTTATACAATGCTGCACAGAGTCACATCACAAGGATTATTATTATGGAAATTACCTATGAAGTTGACGTTTAACCACTTGTATTGCTGACCTATCTGAGTCAAGCCTGCACTTCTTTCCACACATCTCTACTCATTAGACTGTGCAATATTATTTCTCATTTGTGCGCCTTAATAACCGCCATATTCATCTGGAAGTTTTATTGTACGGGTTTTAAACATATATTTGTTATATTTTAGCGTTGCACCTTTTTATATATATATATATATATATATATATATATATATATATATATATATAAACTTTTACTAGGTTAGTTTGATATCCTATGTCGGTGCAATTTGCAGCTGGTTATTTAATGTATTTATTTTTATATACAATATTTTACATATATTGAGCGCTCGCTGTACATATTTTAAAGAAATATGTCCACAGACAAAACTCAAATACAGCTCTACAGGTATATTTTCTCTCAACATATATTATTTGAAATGAAAAAAGCACCATATTATTTCAGTCTTGGGCAAAAACTTCTGGGTTGGATTATGTTTCTTGGAGAAGCCAAAAGTGAGATTTTTACACAACAGTTTATAGGTGCGGAGGTGAAGTGGTGAGGTGCAGGACTCTGGAGTAAGTACGAATTCCACTCTGCTCGGATAACTTTTTCAAGGCGGCTCTAGACCTCCTCCAGCCAAGCAGGCTACTGAACCAGTGACCGAAGCAAACCTTATGCGGTCTTCAAAATACATCTCCAGAATTCTTGCATTACAGGCATTCGTCCCTGGGGAAATACTGCCCTAAACGTTACTACCACTCAGTGCACCATCCAGTCAAAGCAACCTTCAGCCTTTAACAAACTGCCGGCTGGAAGGTGTGCCCGTGCCTTCCGCCCGCATGAAAATACTGGAATCTCAAGCACCTTAGGTGGCCCCCTTTGGCGAGGACACTGAAAGTGACACAAAAATGTCTTCAAAAGAAAAAAATTGACCACCCAATAAAAGGAGACTTACCTAATCGCAGGCCTCCAGGAGTCAGAGCACTCTTATCCCCAGGGCAGGTGTTCTTGTTGGCAGTTATAGATACAAGCTCAAGCACCCTCTCAGCTCGTGCTCCATCCATACCTTTAGGCCTCAGGTCTACTAGCACAAGGTGGTTATCTGTTCCTCCTGAAAAGGCAATGAGGTTATGAAAGCCAATACTCAAGAAGTATGCCTAAAACAAGGTCAGAAAAGACAAAACCATCATGTCATCACGTATTTGCATATTGTTTGTAGATATCTAGGTCACTGTGGGTAATAGGCAATGCTTGGGTTTATAAAAATATATTTTTTTCTTTATTTTTTAATATATATTGAATTACACAACAGCATTGATCTTCCTGACTATACTGCGTTCCAAACTGGTAAATCACAAGATCATCTGAACAGAATTACAACTATTACAGCATGTAAAAACAGTAAACATGTATTTTTACTGTGTAAATAGATGTAGGCCTGGAGTTGTACTTTAAATGTGAATATGGTGCTTTTCTTAGAAATCCTGTCTCCAGTAAAATTCATCAGCAATGTGACTAATCATTACTGATGGAATCAAGATGCATATTTTTAATCCTCATTGTGATAATAAACTTGCCACCGGTCTCACAGTGATTTATTTTCTTCTGTATAAATAAAATTTATGGCAAAAAAAAACTGTCATAAAACAGTTTTCCTTTTTTTCAAGGTCTGGACTAAAAAATAAATTCATCCTGGTCAGATACCTTTTTTCTTAAATTTCTATCAAGGAGAAGGCTCAATCTTTCTATTAGCTGCATTGTTGAAGAAATGTGTTGTATAAATTTACAAAATTAAATGATTTATAAGAGCAACAACCCTTTTCCCCACCAGTCTCCTGCCTTTTTTTTTCAGATTGGTCCCAATAGAGTGTGGAAGTAAACCTATCTGCCTAGTTCTGCTGTGCATTGTCCCCTAAAAAATCAATTCTCTGTGGGTCCTGTGTCATTGATACATCCTGGAATTATTTTTTATAATCACATACTGTGTATGTTTGTATGTATAATATATACATCAGTTTAAAAAACATAATTTATAAATTTCATACAGCCAGTATAGGGAGAATTAGCCTGTGGATTAAAAGAATAGTTCGGTGAACAATCAACACTCTGGACAAACAATAATGCATCACTGTATGGGTTATGTTTAAATCCTCAGTCTATTATTATAACAAATATCTTAAACTCCTAAAGAGCCAATTCACCTTCATAATACTTTCAAACTATAATTTAAAGTAGAATTTTTGGATAAACCTAACCAGTTTTAAAAAATGCTCAATCCCCACACCTAAAACCTATGCTGACTAACCTGTCTAAGAATGCTGTATATACTTACCAATTTTTCAGCCTGTTCTGATCCAGTTACATGATCCCCTGTGTCACCCTGCAGCAGCAGGGGAGACGGCTTAACAATGGCTAGTAATGCCTAGAGTGATGACATTACTTTATGCTAATTTTGCCCATCTGTGGTCAACATTCACTCCTCTCTCCTACAGCCGGCGCTGACACAGGACACCTGGATCACGTTATTTGACCAGAGTAGCCTAAATTAAATGGAATCTAAATCATGTGGAACATGCTCACATACAGCTTGATTGGATTGGTGAACATTCAGCAGCACCACATCCCTACAGACACCATTTAAAAAATTGAAACAAAGCAGCTTTTTAAGGTGCCATTTTAAACTAACAATAAACACCAATTGTTCAAAATGTATCATTCATTGACACACACAAAACATTTACACATACGATTTTATAGATAATCCATATGCATAGCAAAGTATACCATACCGGAAGAGCTATAGAAGACTCTAATGATCTTATAGTAAATAGGGGGTCCCAGAACCTAGGTTTACAGGCATCTCCCTCCAATTTTAGAGGATACAAAGAAATTGCCCTCTCGGAACCCAGTAGAGCAGCGGTTCTCAACCTGGGGGATCAATCCTTCACTCGTCGTGATTGGCCGTCCGAACTGTAGCTCAAGATAGCACACAGGCGCCAATCACCGGCGATGATGTTGAGCATTGGAAATGAGGAGACGACGGCACCGCGTAGCACGTGCGATGAAGAGAGGAAAGCGGCCGGAGAAGAAGCCATCTGAACTGGTAAGTGTTTTGTACCATGGGAGAGGGAGGGAGCGAGCCCGAGTGCTGGGAGCAGTGGTGTCCACAAGGGAAGTATCAGTTGTTTGGCAGTGGAGGAATGTGTGCCCAAACATTGTTCACTATTACCGAATGATGGGGCACTATTCCCTCCCACTTGACACCAATGTTGGAAGGACATAATGCTACCCCTGGATGCCAACGAAAGCGGCCAATCATTACTCCACTGATTACCAATGATGGGGCCACGATTTCCTCCCTTCTGACTAACCAATGAAAAGGGGCACTTACTTCCCTCCCACTGACACCCAATGATGTGGACACGTATTTCCTCCTCACTAATACCAAGGATGAAGGGCAGAGCCACTAATTCCTGCCCACTGGATACACAATGAGGGGCACCTATTCCGCCCTATGTATACCAATGATGGGGCACTTTTCTTCCCACTGACACCATGATGGGGCAACATATTCCTTACCACTGACACCAATGATGGGGCACTATTTCCTCCCACTATGACACGCAATGATGGGGCACTCACTCCTCCCACTGACACCCGAATGATGAGTGCACTAATTCCTCCCACTGACACACAATGATGGTTGCACTATTCCAATATTGACAACCCAATGATGGGGCACTATGTCCCGCCCTAAATGACACCACATGATGAGGCACTATTCCTCAAATGGCACAACCCGAACGATGGGGCATACCTATTCCTCCCTCCCATATTCCAACGATTGTGGGTTACTTTTCCTCCCACTGGCAACCAATGAATGGGGCACTCATTCCTCCCACTGACACTCACGTCGACTTACATACAACCAAGGATGGGGCAATTCAACCTCCCCGACACCCAATGATGGGGACTATTCCTCCTCTGACACCAACTGATGCGGGGTCAACAAATACTCTCCCTATGACACCTATGATGGGATTATCTAATTTCCTCCCACTGACACCTGGTTGACGGGGCATATTCACTCCCAATTTTACACCAATGTTAGGGACCCTATTCGCTGCCTCGCTTGGTGCCAACGTAGGGGCACTATTCGCCGCTACAGATACCAAAGATAGGGGCACTATTCATCCTCGTGATACTCCAGTGATTGGGGCTACTATTCATTCCACTGATACCAAATGACTGGGTCCGTATTCTCCCGCTAGTGAACACCAATGATTGGGGCACTATCCTCCCTGACTGACACAGATGTGATGGGGACACTATGTCCTCCACGTGTTACACGGGGGGGGTGGGGGTGATGGGGTCCAACGCTTGGTGTTCCGCTGATAGCCTCATGTATTAGAGGCGGCACTATTTTTCCTCTCCCACTGATTCAAGTGATGGTTTTACTATTCTCCCAGTGTCATCAATGATGGGGCATCTAATTCATCCCAATGACACCTAATGTGGGGCTCTATTCCTGCCCACTGATACCAATGATGGTGGGGCACTGAGTCTATCTCCCCACTAACACCAATTGAGTGGGGGCACTATTCCTCCCAACTGATACCAAGAGATACGAGGAACTTTTTCCTCCCACTGACACACTATGATGGGGCACTATTATCCACCATTGAACACCAATGATGGATGGCACTATTCATACCCCCCACTGACACCAACATGATGGGGCACTATGACTTCCTCCATTCTGATACCATTGATTGTTTTTACTTTTCTTTTTTTTTTATTTTTTTTAACGATGGGGCACTCAATTCCACCACCCCACTCGTAGTACCAATGCTGGGAGCACTATTAATCCCGCCTGACTACTGACACATATGCTATTGGGGCATTATTTCATTCCCTAGGTGTTGGTTAGGACCATTAGTTTCTCATGGGCACACCGGTATACTTTTGCCTCGATACCTGCGATGGGGCACGTATGTACTCAAATGGATACCAATGATGAGGGACAACTTTTCATTTAAACTTGATACCAATGATAGGGCACATATTCCTCCCACTAGAACACTCAATGAATGGGGAACATTTCCTCCTACTGATACCAATTGATGATGTTTAGTATTCTCACCACTGATACCAATAGGAATGGGGCACTATTCACTCCCTTGATAACCAATGATGGGGCGCCACTAGTTCTGCATTCCAATCCCACTGGCACAGTGGATCGCGGCACATGATTTCCTCCCACTGATACACTAGTTGATGTGTGGGGGACTCAAGTTGCTCCCTGCCCACGTTGCATCAAGTGCTGCTATACTAATATCCCACCTTTTTCTACCAGTGATGGGTGGCACTTGCCCTCCCATCTGACACCTATATGATTGGGGCAACTATATCCCCCACTGATATACCCATATTTATGGCAACTATTCACCCACTGACACCATTTTTTTTGGTGCACTATTCCCCCCACTGACAACCAATAATCAGGGGCATCTAATGCCTCCCACTGACAAACCCAATGGCTGGGGCACGATTCCTCATCACTTGACTCCTATGTTGGAGCTTATTCCTCCTCCCACTTGACACCAACGATGTGGGCAACTATTCCTCCCCCCACTGACCACCAACGATGGGGCAACTATTCCTCCCACAGGACACCAACGATGGCGCACATATTGTTCCTCCCACTGACACCAACGATGGGGCACTATTCCTCCACACAGACGAACCAACGATGGGGCACTATTCTCCCACTTGACTCTATCACTCAATGACGGGGCACGTATTCCTCCCACTGACACAATGTTGGGGCACTATTGCTCCCCCTGAATGCCGAAACGATGGGGCACTATTCTCCGAACTGATACCAATGATTGGGGCACTCTTCCTCTCCCACTGACCCCAAATGATGGGGCACATTCCCAAACTGACACCAAAATGGGGCCGATTCCCCCCACTGACACCAAAGATGGGGCACTATTCCTCCCACTGACACCAGTGAGGGCACTATTCCCCCCACTGACACCAAATGATGGGGCACTTTTTCCCCCCCTGACACCCAGTGAGGGGACCTTTCCTCCCACTACACCAGTGATGGGGCCCTACCCCCCCCCAGACACCAAGATGGGCACTTTTCCCCCCCACTGACCCCAATTTGGGGGCACTATTCCCCCCCCGACAAAATGAGGGGGCCATTCCCCATGACACCAATGATGGGGCACTATTCCCCCACTGACACCTTGAGGGGGCAATTCCTCCCATTGACCCCAAAACATGGGGCCACCTATTCCCCCCATACAAAAACGGATGGGGCCTTTTCCTCCCCCTGACCCCAAACGATGGGGCACTTTCCTCCCACTGAAAACCAAATGGGGCACTATTCCTCCCATGAAAGGTCCTCCCACTGACACCAATGTTGTGGGTTATCTATTTCTCTCACTATGCCAACGATGGGGCCACTGAGGTTATGAAAGCCAATACTCAAGAAGTATGCCTAAAACAAGGTCAGAAAAGACAAAACCATCATGTCATCACGTATTTGCATATTGTTTGTAGATATCTAGGTCAATGTGGGTAATAGGCAATGCTTGGGTTTTAAAAAAATATATTTTTTTTCTTTATTTTTTAATATATATTGAATTACACAACAGCATTGATCTTCCTGACTATACTGCGTTCCAAACTGGTAAATCACAAGATCATCTGAACAGAATTACAACTATTACAGCATGTAAAAACAGTAAACATGTATTTTTACTGTGTAAAATTACTGATGGAATCAAGATGCATATTTTTAATCCTCATTGTGATAATAAACTTTGCACACCGGTCTCACAGTGATTTATTTTCTTCTGTATAAATAAAATTTATGGCAAAAAAAAACTGTCATAAAACAGTTTTCCTTTTTTCAAGGTCTGGACTAAAAAATAAATTCATCCTGGTCAGGATACCTTTTTTCTTAAATTTCTATCAAGGAGAAGGCTCAATCTTTCTATTAGCTGCATTGTTGAAGAAATGTGTTGTATAAATTTACAAAATTAAATGATTTATAAGAGCAACAACCCTTTTCCCCACAGTCTCCTGCCTTTTTTTTTCAGATTGGTCCCAATAGAGTGTGGAAGTAAACCTATCTGCCTAGTTCTGCTGTGCATTGTCCCCTAAAAAATCAATTCTCTGTGGGTCCTGTGTCATTGATACATCCTGGAATTATTTTTTATAATCACATACTGTGTATGTTTGTATGTATAATATATACATCAGTTTAAAAAACATAATTTATAAATTTCATACAGCCAGTATAGCATGTCTTCAATCATTCTTTTATAACATTTCCAAAAATACAGCATTCATTATAAAATTATTATAAAATACCTGAGACAAGTGTGTAACCCTTCTTAAGTAGGGAAGAGGCCATTGCCTTAGCATTTTTTAGGACCTGCAGTGCATATTCATGGAACATTGGAGAATTAGCCTGTGGATTAAAAGAATAGTTCGGTGTAACATTCAACACTCTAGACAAACAATAATGCATCACTGTATGGGTTATGTTTAAATCCTCAGTCTATTATTATACAAATATCTTAAACTCCTAAAGAGCCAATTCACCTTCATAATACTTTCAAACTATAATTTAAAGTAGAATTTTTGGATAAACCTAACCAGTTTAAAAAATGCTCAATCCCCACACCTAAAACCTATGCTGACTAACCTGTCTAAGAATGCTGTATATACTTACCAATTTTCAGCCTGTTCTGATCCAGTTACATGATCCCCTGTGTCACCCTGCAGCAGCAGGGGAGACGGCTTAACAATGGCTAGTAATGCCTAGAGTGATGACATTACTTTATGCTAATTTTGCCCATCTGTGGTCAACATTCACTCCTCTCTCCTACAGCCGGCGCTGACACAGGACACCTGGATCACGTTATTTGACCAGAGTAGCCTAAATTAAATGGAATCTAAATCATGTGGAACATGCTCACATACAGCCTTGATTGGATTGGTGAACATTCAGCAGCACCACATCCCTACAGACACCATTTAAAAATTGAAACAAAGCAGCTTTTTAAGGTGCCATTTTAAACTAACAATAAACACCAATTGTTCAAAATGTATCATTCACTGACACACACAAAACATTTACACATACGATTTTATAGATAATCCATATGCATAGCAAAGTATACCATACCGGAAGAGCTATAGAAGACTCTAATGATCTTATAGTAATAGGGGTCCCAGAACTAGGTTACAGGCATCTCCTCCTTTTGAGGATACAAAGAAATTGCCCCTGGAACCAGTAGAGTATGAGCGGAGGTCACTCGTTGCAGCGGGACTGTCCAATGTGGGTCTTTGAAAAGGCATGTTGCACCGTATAGTGTAAGCAAGCAGGCCCAAAGCGGTGCAAGACCTTGCAGACTTGCATACCCAAGCAGCTGGAGAGTCAGATGCAGCCAAAGGTGACAGTCGCTGCTGGTGGAGCAACGGAATGAGACCAGAGACTGGATGATCCATGAGGCGCTTCAAAATCAGGATCAGTAGCAGGATGGTGATTACTCTAAGTTGCATGGCAGGAAAAAAAAAAAGCACAGAGCACACACACAATGTCACCTAGTGGATGATGTCTGTGCCAAGTTCCCTCAGCTTGATTTGTTACTGCAGTAGGATGACGGTAAAAGTAATCTTAAAATGGCATCCAGCACTGAACTTACACCAGATGCTTCAGCCCAGCCGGCCTTACTCAATATAAATCCTCAGAATCTAGGTCACATCAGAGGCTGTGCAATGGCTCTGGACCTGGAGAGTGCTCCACAGCCAATTAACAGAACACAAAAGTTTAGAAAGTGCCACAATGCACAGTCCAGTGCTTGAAGGTCAAATTCCAGACTAGGCCTGCAATCTTCCAGCCCAACAAGTATGGCCACCAAAGCTGTTGCTGAGGATATGCTGATCACGATTGCTACTACATAGAAACTAGCTTAAACAGAATTTTAAATCTTGATTAAAGTCACTTAAGAATAATAAATATACACATATATACAACAGTATATATGGTGTACCAAAGTACCCTGACTGAAGGGAACATTAACCTAAAAAATAAGAATAAAAAGTCTAGCAAAAATACACAGATCTTCTCAGCAGAACAAAGGAAAAAGATGCCCAACCTTCTAGGACAGGAGCAAATAACTGAACCATGACATTTGCAGACATACACGGGGGTTAGTTTATTGGTTTTTGTATACCAGTTTGCCAACCTCCAGAACTCGGCAGTATAACCGGATTGTTTAAGAACTCCTAACATTCCTGTGTCCTTTAATGGTCGATAAAGAAAAGCATATTTCGGTGGGGAAATATATCAGCACATAAGACAGGTCAAAGTCTTTCATTTTTGAGCTGCAAGGGTGAACTTACAATTTAAGCTACGGGCCCCTGGTGTTTTTCAATTTAATCTTTGTGTTTTGCAGCTATTAACTGCTTGCAGAAAATCCTCCCCCTCATTTATGCATCAGAGCTCCATTTGTACAGACAGTCCGCAATTAGTGATTTCACAAGGTGCCTCGGTTATTTTGTTTTGCAGTATTCCACAGCGCTGTCACATTTTGATTAATAACTGCGTTTCCTGTTGGAATCACCTGCTCTGTGGTTATCAGCCAGCAGGTGTTCTACACACAGGAAAACTGTAATTCCATTTAACAAGGAAAAGGCTTACAGAAAGACTCCTGTGTGTCTGCAATGTAAAGCACGTGTAGTAGCAGCAGGCCATTCCACAAATCACTGATCACAATATACAAGGAATCTAGGGATCTTCAAGGGAATCCAGAATATTTGAGATTAGTTTCCATATCTCTACATTACAGCATAAAGAGTTTAAAAAAAACAACTCAATAGGCCTCTGCAAAGACACGGGCAAAGAAAACAGAACATGCATGGGAAATGAGTGCTCCTACTACATGTGTTAATAAAAATAATTTTTCTAGTGACTTCTCAAAGTCCCACGCTGCAATATTTCATCAAACTGAGCTAACAATGTGCACATCATGGATCAGTACCAGTTCATGCATTGCATGGTTGGGCTTGTGTTGATGCCAACAGTTAAGACACTTCTGAGAGATTTTAGAATATATTGACAGGTGCATTAGACCCAGCGGCGTATTTACCGTGAGGCAAACAAGGAGTTTTCTTGGAGTAGTAATTCAGGGCGTGGCAGAGATGGGGACCTAGTAAGCAGGCTGTGCGCTGCTGAAGGGTGCAGGAATGGCCGCCGGATCTTTTGCAGATAAGTGCTTTTAATTGGGTGTTGGCAGCGGCGGCGGAGGGGAGCAAATGGGGGGTGATAAAGTGCTGGCAGCAGAGCAGGGGGTTGGGATCAAGTGGCGGTCCCGGTCAGTTATGTTGATGAAGCTGCAGGATGGATTGGTGTGTCAGGAAGCCTGGGTCTCGATGTCAGAGTGGGTCTCTGGTCTGGCAGCCTCCATCTACCAGGAGATGGAGCGACTGATTGGGTATTGGCGGAGGGTGGTGGTGATGGGAGGGGTGGGGGTGCTGGGCGCCCAGATTCTTGTGTTGCCTAGGGCAGCAAAACGAATGAATACACCACTTATTAGACCTGCAGATTACCTCCTTGTGACCTACATTTGACTTGCTTGAAGCAGGTTTTGCATTACCATGGACTTATAATCAGATGCAAAACCGGCTTCAAGCAAACAAAGGCTTGTCAGCACAGGCACAAACTTTTAAAGTGATTCCTAAAGATTTAGAAGCAAATGTGCTTTTGGCTATACCAATCAATTAGAATTTACTTCTTTTCAATTAGAGTTGACTCCTTTTTTTTAACCCAATCTCAGTGCAGTGGAACCTGATTGGCTTTTATGAGTTATGACATCTTTCCCATCATCGCTACTCTCTGCACCATTATAATACTCTATTATTGTTATGGTTTTGAAGTCTTCAAATTCCAAACATGGGCAAATTTACAAATTCAAAAGGGAAAAAAAATTCAAAAAGGGGGGGGGGGGGGGGGGGGGGAATCCAGAGTTTGGCTTACCAGTAACTCTTTTTCTAGAAGTCTTCCAGGACAGCCCCTTGAGACGTAAAGCTCCTCCCATGGAGACAGGAAACAGGTAAGCTCAGAACCTTAAAAGGCAGACCTCCAGGTTTCCCTCTTCGGTTTTACTCAAGAACCACAGGAAGGCACTAAAAGACATTACCATTTATGCATAAAAATACATTACCGTACAAGAATCAGGGTGGAAAATCCCGGTTGTCCTGGAAGACTTATAGAAAAGGAGTTACAGGTAAGCCTAACTCTGGTTTTCTCAAAACGTCTTCCAGGACAGCCCTTTGAGACAAAAATCAAGAACTTACCCACTAGGGCGGGACTACTGCCTGTAGGACTTTGCGCTCAAATGCCTGATCTTCACTAGAAAGCAGATCCAGGTGATAATGCCTCGCAAAGGTAGAAAAGCTGGACCAGGGGCAGCCTTACAGATTTGTTCTGGCAAGGAACGGGCTCTCTCTGCCCAGGATGCTGACAAGGATCTGGTTGAGTGTGTATTAACAAACGGAGGTGAAACTTCTAATTATACAATTCCGCGTTAGCCATAATAATCCATCTAGCTATGGTGGACTTTGAAGCCTTGGAACCCTTCCGTGCTCCCACAAAAAGAACAAAGAATCTGAATTTCTGAACTCTCTGCATCTACCAAGATAGGCCAAAAGGTTCCTTCTAACATCTAATAAACTTAAGAATAAGCAGAATAGAAGGTCGGCAAGATATTGTATCTTGAGACCTATGAAAGGAGGAGGAAACTTTGGGAAGAAACCCAAGATCTGTTTTGAGCACAATTCTATCCTGCAATTCACTCCCCCTACGGGCCAATGTGATTGCTACCAAAAATACAGATTGCTACCAAAAATGAAGATTTCTCCAGAGGTTCAAAGGGACAAAGTACCAAGTTTTTTAGGACCAAAGACAGATCCCAAATTGGACAGGACCTGACCGCCGCAGGCCTTGACTTGGAAAGAGCCCTGGAAAAATCAGCTATAAGGGGATCTTGCTGGAGAGGAACCTGAAGGAAAATACTAAGGGCCGAGGCCTGCAGCTTTAAAGTGTTAACCGAAAGGCCCTGATCTGCTCCATCCTAGAAGAAATCTAACACCACTGGGAAATTCGGAGGGCTCCAGACCTTAGTATAAATAGCTCTGGTAACTGGTTTGCGGAAGTTCGCCAAAGTCCTTACTGCTCTGTCAGAAAAAACTCTTGAGCGTTCAGGAGTTGCTTTTCAGTAGCCACGCTACCAACCTCAAGGATCTCATCTGAGAGTGCAGCACCGGACCCTGAGAGACCAGATCTTCTCTCTCTGGGAAAGGGAACGGAGGAACCGAAGCCAGGCTCCACAGCAGAGAAACTGTAGAGGAAGATGAAAGATGGCTCTTTCTTTCATCTTCCTCTACAGTTTTATTAAGCTTCCC